ACAGAAGGAAATCCCCCCCACTTTGGGAGGGGGGGAAGTGTGTGTGTTTCTGGGGATGGGGGGGCTAAGAAAAGGTTTCCATGCCAAATCCCCTCCCCTTTGCATAAGGGGGGCGCGATTAATTATTGGGGGGGCACCCACGCGTGAGAGGCTAGAGAGTATTATTTACCCTTCCATAAAGCAGTTTTTCTAGAGCAGACAAGCATCTCTGGGCTCTTGAGCAGCGGGCAGGACTTGCTTCCAAGAAATCCACCTAATTCAGGGAGGCTTAAAACCCTTTCTGCAGACCTGCTGGAAGTTGGACCCAGTGCCTTGTTGGCATAGCATAAAAAGTGGGACGTGGAAATTCACACAGACACCGGCAGGTCTCCTTGGATATATACCAGCACAGATTTTAAAACGCAAGCTATAGTTCTGTATTTACAAGGGTTAGGGTTAGGGTTGTACTGTAAACTTGTGTGATTTATCCCATTTATAAAGAAATACTTGCAGGAACTATAGCTAGAACAGATTAAATGCTAAACATTTTCTCCTTTTTTAACTTTTCAATCTTAGACAAGCAAATAAACAAACCTGGGCGGTTGTTTAGGTGGCTTTTATTTCCAGATTCCTGGATTCCACTCCCCTGCTGCTTCTCCTGACTTTCATTGGGCAGGGTCCTGGGATCAAACAGGAAACGGGATCTCTTTCCACCACATACTGTTCAGTTCAATTAGGCAATAAAGAAACACACGTGGAGGGTGCAAACCTAGACATGACCTGTGATCAGACCTGGTAAGAGGAAAGGAGAGCTCTCCTTGGAAAAGGGTGTACAGTGAGCAAATCCATGTTGTTGTATTTAAAGTCAACCCCTTGAAATCAATGCCACTTTGGTTCATCTTATTGTTTCAATGACTGTGTTTGTAAGTTTACAGTTATTCTTCTGTCTTAAATACAGTTATTCTGTATTTCAACCGCCCTGGGAGGAAATTTTTACTATGGAAGAGAATACCGTATATAAATTATTAACTTGCTACCACATACACTATCAAAAGTGTATGCATAAGCTCAATGATATACAACAAAGTAGAATTTTTAGACTTTAGAAGTATTTATAAACAGATTACATACGATTGAAAATTCCAATTGTTTTAGAAACAAAAGGCCATATGAAACGGTAATTTTAGCCACCTGCCGGAAGCCCACGAGGGTTCCTTTGTGAAGGAAATCCACAATCGATGGGGCTACTAAAAAGAGAGAAAACACACACACACAATCTATAGTATATAGCAGTGTAGCTTCTCAAAAATGACCATTTTACAACAAGGCCTCTCTTGGGAATCTCAGATTCCAGGCAGGCATTGTACCAACAAACACAACCAGCACCTGCAGCTCAGCTCAGAAGCAAACTGGAAACTTGTGTGGCGAGTTTAAGATTGGCAATACTGTATAAGTCTTCTAAAACGTATATTAAACTAGTGTTTGACTTCTGCATTTTTCAGTGGGTGTTCCAAATGCAGCATGCTATACAGCGTGTTACAGTGGTGTAATAAAATGTAATTTACACTTGTATCACTGTGGCCAATCCTTATGTTATGGCATGGGTTAAGATTCTGGAGGGGTCAAGCCGTGAGAAGGGAGCCTGGATGGGAGAGAATGATAGTCTGCCAGACTGGGGTGCTCAGGCTTCTACCCATCTGTCTACTGAGGGGGAAAAAAAGTATATTTTCCCAGATACTCTCTGAATATTGGCTACTTGGAGAGTCTGACTAAGGCTGATACTGTATCCCTAAATTGGTAGGCAGGGTGATTTGAGTACAATACTAATCTGCAGTCATCGTCCAGAGCGTTGAGTTCACATCCCCACTCAAGATCACTGGATGAGTTTCGGCCAGTCGCCAGGTAACCTGGCCTACCTTGCAGGGGTTGTTCTGTGGATCAAGTGGTGAGGAGAGTGATGTCCATTATTGCTTTAAGATCACCGGAATTATAGAAGTCTTAACAAGTAGAGATTCCTTCTTCCCACTTCCCTTAGGTATAGGCAGCAAGAACACCAACTGTCCTGTCCTAAATTATACTGATGGAAAGTAGGAAGCTCAGAGGGAGGTCATGCGGAGCGGCTGTACCTGCGGAAGGCCTGCAGCTTTGGCGCAGCTGCTCCCATGCTTCAGTGGGTGGATTTCATCATTCCAATAAAAGAAACCCAGGGCAGAAGCTCCAAATGACATAACAATTCTCTGCTTCTCCCTTCCAGATTTTTGAGAATTTTCGTTCCCATGTCTCAAGATGTCCCTTGTCGACCTGGGGAAGAGGTTGTTAGAAGCCGCCCGCAAAGGTCAAGATGATGAAGTTAGGACACTGATGGCCAATGGCGCCCCTTTCACCACCGATTGGGTACGTTGGCGGCAGAGAGAAGTGGCAGGGCGGGGAGCCCGAAAGAGAGAGCTTTTCCCGAGGGGGATCCTGGCCACTGAATGGCAGAGCCCTGGGGTACCTCTGTCTCTCTCCCCCCACATCGCCCCCGGGGCCCAACATAACTGTGTGCTTCTGTTACATCTGTTAGGCTTTTAGTTTGAACCCAGAAATGAACGCTCCTTAAAAAATCACCCCACTGTATAAATTTCCTTCAGTCTGGCTTTCTGCCTGAACTTCCCCAGTTTAGATGACTGCTCTCATAATCACGTTGGCTGAGGATGATGTGAATTGTAATTCTGACCTATCTGAGTAAAAGCTGATGTAAACAGGACTTCCTTAGATCCTGGATCCAAAGGAGGGCTCTTCTGGCTGACACGGCATTTCCAGAGTGGCCCATCAGTTGATGGCCAGCAGAGGAAGGGGGGGCAGCCCCACCCTCCCTCTCGCCTTCCTCACCAACTGAGCAAGAGAGGCAAGACAGCCTCAGAGCCAGCCATCCTGACTGTCAGCTGTGTACAGTCTATCCTTCCCTGTGCATTTATGTGGATGGTTCCTTTTGGGTCTGTCCTTGAAAAGACACGTCGTCCCCCCTGACTCAGTAGACAGGAGCCACTCTGTGAACTAGGCCATGGGACGGAAGCAGGCCGTTCCTTTTACTCAAAGCCGATCCGTCCACAGAGAAGCAGGGTGCGAGGGGGGGGGCAGCAGCCAGCACAGCGTCGCCGGAGGAGGCAGTTTGGACGGTCACCGGCTTGTGTCTGTCCTCCTTCATGTGCCAACAGCTGGGGACATCCCCACTTCACCTGGCGGCTCAGTATGGCCATTATTCCACGGCAGAGGTTCTCCTCCGGGCAGGCGTGAGTCGGGACGCACGGACCAAAGTCGACCGAACTCCGTTACACATGGCAGCTGCTGACGGCCACTCACACATCGTTGAGCTCCTGATCCAGGTAAGCTGGGCTCCCTCGTGGCCGAGGCTGTCTGCCAAACTGGAAGGGCGTCCTCCTGGAAGTGTCCAGTCCAGTCTGTGTCAACTGGGAGCAGGAACTGATCAGCTTGGGCTCCTGTTGAATCTCGCCGTACTCACGGCCGCTGTTTTCTCCTCCCCAGAATGGGGCCGACGTGAATGCCAAGGACATGCTGAAGATGACAGCCTTGCACTGGGCCACGGAGCACAACCACCGGGAGGTCGTGGAGCTGCTCATCAAGTGTGGGGCCGACGTCCATGCCTTCAGCAAGTTCGACAAATCTCCTTTCGACATCGCTCTGGAGAAGAACAACCCAGAGACCTTGCTGATCCTGCAGGTGGGACCCCCTGTAGTTCTCCTTTCCCCATTGCAGCTGGAGCGGTGCTTTTCTCTTGGCTGAACGGAGGCCGTCTCAGATGGAAACCAGAGACGCGCTAAGCCAGGAAGGGCGAGAGAGGCTGGTAGTGGCGCTGGTGGAAGGAAACGGGAGGCCAAAGGCGTGGCAGCCTTTTGCAGGTAAAAAGGCCAAGGTGTGCGTTCGTGTGTGCGTCTCCTTGGAGCTGCCACTTGCAATTTGGTGCCTTCCAAAGGTGGGCTTGGAAATCCCATCGTCCCCACACAGTTGCCTTCCACACATCCCACCGATCATGGCCTGGATCCCTGTTCGCCCCTTCCGTGTTTTGACCCAAGGAGCTGAAGGTCTAGTCATCACAACAGAAGAGGCTCGGAAAGCAGTGACGGGCGCTGGCGGCCCAGGGGCTGCTGTCAGCCTGTTCTCTGTCAGCTGATGGCATTTCTTGTCCTCAGGAGGCGATGCAGAATCAGGCCAACACCAGCCCAGAGAGGGCCAGCCCGCTCCCGCGCCCTGTCAGCGTGGGCCAGCCGTTCCTTCTGACCTCAGGGGAGGTGCTGAGCTTAGCCAGCCTCATCTCATCGCCAAACACCAAAACCACCTCAGGTAGGGTTGCGACAACGATGGGCCCTCTTCCTCCCACCTTTGAGAGAGATGAGTTTCCTTTCCCCACCTTTTGTTTCCTCTCACCCAGCAAGAGAGGCTCGCCGTTCTGCAACACAGTTTTCAGATTCAACCACCTCAGTCCTTGCCACTCTGGCAGCTATTGCCGAAGCCTCCGGACCCCTGTCCAGCTCCAAGAGAGCCCCTGGTAGGTGGGAACAAATCTCGGGGCGGGGCTGGGTTGAGCCGTCAGGTCCTTGTGCACGACTTCCCTGAAATGGGCTGGAGGAAGCTCATGAGCCGCCAAGAAACCTGTTTCTCCAGGGTGACCCACCGGTGGCCCTGCCAAGGGTTTTGGAGTCTTGACTCCCAGCATTCTCCAGTGTTGGCAAAGCGGGTTCTGTCCAATGAGAGAGGCAACCCAATCAAACCCCGTCCGCCCTCCAGGCAGCCTTAGCTGTCCACGGAATGCCAACTCAGAGGGCCCGTGCCGTGTCCCGGTTGTAGACAAGGACCTGGCGGAGAAACGGTGTCTTTGCTAGCCCTAGTGGCACGCAAGCCTGCAGGGAAGAAACCGTGGTCGAAAGTGTGCCGTCCAGAAACGCCATGTTCAAAAGAAGACCTAAAGAGTTTTCCCTGTGGTTCCAGGAATTGTGGCCAAAATCCTAGCAGACGGCTTGCTCTTGGTCAGTTCTCCCGGTCCCCCCGAGGTGCCGTTCAGCTCTTTCTCTTGGCTCCGATCTGGGTCTGAAGGTCTCGCCTTTGATTTTTGCAGCTCTCTCAGGGGGAGTGGTTGAAAGCCAGCCCGCTGATTCCTCCCCGCAGCAGGTAGTCGGCGGCGGGAGCCAGCGGGTTATTACAATCGTGACGGACCGTGTCCCCTTGGGGAACCTCCCGGCGGCCTCCCTGTGTGGCAGCCTCAGTCGGCCATTCCTGGTGATGATGCAGAACGGACAGCAAGGTGAGAAAGGGCTTCCTTCCCCCCCATCCCCAAGGCTGGGTGCAGTCACAGCCGTGTCTGAAAGTGTGTTTCAAATTGCTTTTCATTCAGTTATGCTTTGATGTCCTAATTGCATTTCCACCGTATAGTCTTTTGCTGATATTTTTCCTCTCCTCTCGTTTGATCTGCATCCACCATAGTTGAGGAACACCTTGCAAATTTTCTCTCTTAAACCCACGTTTGCTGATGCCCTGCTTTGCCTCCCGGGTCCCCTCCTTTCTCTGCCTTGCAGTTCTAACTCTACCTGCTGGTCAGGCGACAGAAGAAATGATAATCGAGGAACAAAATGGAAACCGTCAAGTACCAGACGAAGAAATACCCGCACCAGCCAAGAAAATCAAAGTTGAGGAGGTGCTGGAGAACAACAAGGAAAGCCAGGTTAACCCCATCAAGAGTAACAAAGCCCTGAAAGGTGTCCTTATTATGCACCTAGCTCACAGGTGTTATTCTTCAGGTGATCCTTTCACCTGCAAACTGTACACTCCGGGAAGAGTGTGCGGATCGCCGTAGTGGCCCCATCCTGCCCCTTCCTCAGCATCATGGGCACCCTCAAGGGCTCTTCACCCTTGGGCCCTCCTGGTGGTTCTGAACCTCCGCGCTCAGAAGCCCCAGGCAGGGCCACATGCCCTCCCCGTGGCATTGCTTCTTCTCGTGTTTTCCTCCAGCGCGTGACTTCTAGATTGAATCTGGGCCCGTGTCGCTGTTCTCCGACCCTCTTTGGGCCAAGCCCCAAACTCCCCAAACTTCCACCAACCCCACCGGTGACAAATCCACGGCTTGTTTTCATAGGACAATGCCCAGCAAGAGGTCCTGCCGCAGCAGCTGCGAGAGGCCCACCGGAAGGCCCAGGAGGACCAGAGCCGGCTGGTGCGAAGGGAACCGGAGGCCGAGGACGGCCACCAAAAACCGGACGCCCTGGCCATACCGCTGGATGATGGGACAGAACCCGCTGCGGCTATGGTGGAGGAAGAAGTGGGCCAGGGAAGCGCGGCCAATGTGTCCTCGGAAGGAACGGTCAGCTTGACCACGGAAGAGGAGGTCCCAATTGACATCATGGTGGAAACTGTCACCTCCTAACCCTCAGGTCACCTACTTTGAAAAAAAAACTCAGAATGAGGAGAATCCTTAAAACAGCAGGCATTCTCGGGCTTCCTGTTCCTGCCACACTAAAAAAAAAAAACGCTCTAGGCAATAGTTTGTGGGGCAGTTTGGGGTAAAACCCAGCCCTCTTTTCCTCTTCTTCTGTTTTCTGCACCCCTTTGGCTTTCTCTTTCCTTTCAGGCAGGGCTTCAAAACATAAAGGAACCTAAAGGGCCATTTTTAAAATCGTCCCCCCATTTCAGGGATCTCTTTTTGTAAACATAGCTTGAAATGCTTTTGTCATCCCCTCCAAGTAACCTGGGGGTGGAGGGCAAGGCCAGTCCTCTTGGAGGAAGCCACTGTAGCCAGGAGCACTGCCAGGATCAGTGGGGTAACCTCTGTGGGCCCTGGACGGGTGCCGTGGCCCTTGTTATGGGGTGGCTCCTTAAAGGGCCATCGCTCTCAGGAGAAAAGAGGAGCAGGTTTGTTTCTGCCTACTGAGGATCACACTCGTGGGGTCTCTCAACAGCACGTGAGGAACAAGGACCTTCGTGAGGACTAGCGGGCGGTGTGTGCATGCCAGGTGCTGTGCCAACCAAATTGGGCCTGAAGGCAGCAGAACCAGACAGACCCTGAAACGTGAATGCTTCTTGCTAGATCTGCCTTGTGCCTTTGCAGAGCTGGGAAAAGTTACTTTTTTAAACTATGAAACTCCGCCCATCCCATACAGTGGGCAGATTCTGGAATCCTCCCCCCCCCCAAAAAAAAAAACTTACCCAAGTTCTGCATATAATATTTGTATGAAAAGCCAAGGGAAGCCCAGAGTTTTCTCAACATTAAAAAAATAAATAAAAGCACAGCACTTCAAAAAAAGAGAAGGCAACTTTTCAGATTGGCAGACCTTTTTCTGTTTTTGCAGAGATGCTGATAGAACATTTTGGGGGATAGGAAAAGATGGAGTAGGTGAAAGAAACAAGGCAGCCTTCCCTAAGTTGGCCAACAGAGAAGGGCAGCTGTCGCCATCGTGACCATTTCTCTTGTCCTGCAAACCTCCTCAGACGCAGGGCAGTGAAAAGGAGATTTCTCCCCATTCAACAAGAAACCAATTCTACAATTCAGGACTTCCATCATCTCCTCTTTCCCACAGCCCTCAGGACTGGGCAGGGCGGGGCCCTTGTGTGGTTGGGTGGCCTGGAAAGGGGAGCAAAACCCTGGGGGGGTTCTTTTTTTTTTCTCTCCCTCCCACACGCATTCAGAAATGAGGAAAGCCAGGTTTGTGTGTGCCTCAAGCGGTAGGCATGTCTCCCCCTTGACCCTCCACCGTCCGTGGGCTGCCACGGCTGCTTTGTGGCCAGGCGGCGTCTCCCGACCCACCCTGGGGCGAAGGCAAGCCCAAAAGGGGCCCAAGGAAGACCAAGCAGAGACTCACCTTCCGCAGGTGAGGTCGGTAGAGAAGCCCACCTGGAGGCAGAGGCCCCAAGAACCCCAGGTGGAGCCAGCCTGGCCCGGAGCTCCACTGAGCCTTTATAGAACCTTAGCAGGAATCCCAGCCCTCCAGGGAATTTAAAGGGGTAGCACTTTAGGGCATGTGTCTGTGTGTGTGTGGGGGGGAAATAAGACATTTTTCTACCTTTTGTGCACCAGCAGGGAGGGGGAAATGGAATTCATAGCCCCTGTTTCCCTTCTAATTCAAAGCCATCTTGAGCTTTTAACAGGGTTCCTATCATGAGATGCATTTATTTATATCGATTGTAGATCTATGTATTTTTATACAAATATATATATAAATAGGTATGTATGTAACATAAGCATCTTGTTCACAGGATTCTTTTTGCACCCATGAAGACTATCTGTGGTCCTTTTTAAAGTTTAAACCAAAAGTGGTCTTAGAAGTCAATTAGATGCCCACCTGGATTTTCTAGGGAGAACAGACCATGTCCTCTACTCAGCATCCATTCTAATGAATCATTCTTAGCATAGCTTGAAAAGGGTCACTTTTTTGGGGGGTGGGGGGTGCTGCAGCGTCCAGAATTTCCCAGCCTGAGTGGCCAACTGTAGCCACAGTGACCAGGAAATAAGGATAGCTGGAGCCCCTCAGATATTTGTCTCCCTGCTAGATCTGCTGGGTTCATGTAGAATTCAATATGGGTCCCTGTAGATGCAAAGTAAAAATTCACAGGCCCGGTTGAAGTAACCCAGTTTAATTCGGGGAACAATTGTGGGAACCACTTCAACCTCCCGTTTTATTTTTGAGATGGTCAAGTTGTTGATTTAAAAAACCAAAGTGAGTTTAAAAGGCCTCCTTACAAGGACAGTCGCTGGCTTCTCCCCCAGACAACCCCCCCCCCTAGTTAGTCAAAGGGTGGGGTGGGGAGCAGACAGAGGATGCTTCCTGTTGGCCTAGGGGGATTTTCTGCCCCTCCAGCCATCCTGAGATGCTGTGGGACAGTGGATTTTGAAACACTCAGAAGGCAGGAGGTGGAGCGAGAAATCACCAATATTTCAGGAGTATTGCATGCACCAAAAAGTGGACGCAGGGGTGGCTCCCCCCCCCCGTCCCTCCTGAGCCTACAAACCAAGCTGCTGAATCACATTTGAGGAGGATGCTGGGTTATAAACCTCTAGGTTACGAAGACTTCCAGCCAAGGGTGGGCGGAGGAGAGAGCCCGACTGCATAATATAAATTGTATCCTTGCCTAAAAGGAAAGCGCTATTTATTGAATATGCAACTGCTTTTTTAACAAACGCAGCGTCCTTTCACTTCTGACAGCCATTTTGTAATGTTTTGCTGAGAACCAAAGCCGACAATTTCCGTCTTGTGTATTTGCCTTTAGTTGGTGACTTGTATTGGTCTCGGGAGGGGGGAGGTTTCGGTGTGGGGGGGTGTTGGAGAGTCATGTGGACGCGGGTCTTGTCAACCTCTACATCTCAAGGTTAACCCATTTTTGCAGCCATTAACATCTCCTGTTGTGACCCTCTTCCAGGAACTGGGCCAATTTACAGAGGATTTTATGATTTTTATAAAAAGACAGTATGTACCGGCCGGCTTGTTGAAAGAGAGGAGGGGGCCTGTTTTATACATTTAGAGGGGCTTTGCCCCAGATATTCAGGTTGCAGTGCTTACACCTCCCTCCGACACCTGCTTCTTGGGCTAATGTCCTTCAGTTAATAATAATAATTAAAAAAAGCCAACGTCTCATGCTCGTCCTTTCCCTTCTGAGCTCAAAAACAAGGCATGATCTACCCTTGCTTGATGTGAACTCCCTCTCAGTGGGGTTGTGGACTCTCACATGCAGCAGGATGGTGGGGCTGTGACCCTCTTGCTATGCCTTCCCCCGGATCCTGGCCTCGAGCATTCACCACTCTGGATCTTTGGTCTCTTACCTCCTGCTAATTGTTCAAAGAAGAATCTTGATCTCGCCAATATAAGAAAATAAATGAACGTGAAGGCAATTTTCCCCAAAGAAGGATGTTTGTGTATTTACAGACACTCTGTTCTTGAATTTACAGTAAAGTTGTAAAGATATTAATAAACTATGGTAGTGTTGTTGGAAGTAAACATAAGGAGAATAATTGGGTGAGCAGTTTAGAACTGTAGTAATGCGGTACAGAAACTGTCAAACCCATGGATCATAGATGTGCATAATAATTTTTATGGAGACTCTGCCTTCTACCCAGACTGCTTCATGGTCCCATTGGTGGTCTCGGGTCCTCTGGGCCGAGAACCAAAGCCTTTTATGTGCATTTTATGGGACTTATATGCAAGAGGGTTTATTTACAGGAGGGTGGATAGTGGGGATCCCTGTCGAAAAGCCCGGCAGCCTTGACCAGTCACAGGTCCTGCATAACCAAACTTTATCTCAACCAGAGGCAGCCTTCCAGAGTCCCCCATTTTTCCTTCTGAAGATCTGAAGGCAGGAATATTGTTTATTTTTTGGAGGGGGGGCTTTGCCTTCCAGAGGCTGATAATTCCAACACTCAGCATCTCCAGGCAGGCCTGAGATGAACTGGAGCAAGGTGGGGCCGGAGGGGAGAAACCACAGATCATCAGAACTCCTGCCGTCTTGAGGAAGGACCGTTTTAAGCATGCTGGGGACATTGCGCGCCCCCTCCCCTTCCCTGGAAGCCAGGGGCGCTGACTAATAACTAACGTTTTGCCGGTGGTTATGATGTGCCAGTTCTGTGCACTGCTTTGATTTATAACAGCTTAGCGGGGCTTTGGACTGAGAAAGTAATTAGTTTCCCCCAGGGAAAGGGGAAAAAAAGAATAAGAAGGGAAATAACATTTCTAGAAGCAGCAGAGAGATGGCCGCATGCTAAGCCAGAAGTTGTGGCCATCTGGATTGGAACAGGAGGGTCCAGAGGGGCCACACGAGAGGCCTCCAGCCGGGGCCCCTCCCTGTCTCCTACCTGCGACAGGTTAGTTACTGTAGTTAGAGAGCATCCTTGTGCTGCCCCCTTGTGGACAT